TACTAATTGGTATATTAGTGTGTACATTAATTGATGTATATAATACCACAATTCTACAATTTACATCAAAAGATTTTGTGTCAAGTTAAAAAAATTGACTGCTAATTATTATTATTTTTTTTCTTTTTCTTGCAGCAATGTCATCAATAAAAATTGATAACGAAACGATAGTGATTGCGAAGTAAATGGGCGATAGGAATGATGGCGGCAATGCTAATGGCAATGGGAAGGTTTGCCAAAAGTGGAGAGTATGATTAGGATGGTCAAAAGGTGAGCCGAGGATTTAGGATTTAGATGATTAGGAAGGTCAAAAGGTGAGCCGAGGATTTAGGATTTTAGATGAAAAGATGAGGATATTTTGATATTTTATTTTAAAATAAAAATATAATATAAATAAATTTATGAAATATGTGGATTGAGAAAATTTAAGATTTGTTTAGTTTGTATGTCAAGATATAATTTTTAGAAAAAAAAAATTTAAATTTTATTTGGTTAAAATTTTTTGAAAGAAATTTCAAAATCATTCTCTCTCTTTTACACCTCAATTAATCACTTTTTCTCTCTCTTCTTTTATTCTTAACGGTAGTGTTACATGCACTAATTAATATACCAACACTAGTTATAACATTAGTGGTGTTTTGAGAAATTGGTAAAAAACTAACTTTTTAACTTTTTCAGTAGTTTTTTGGATAAAAAGTTGGTTTTTTGTCTAAAAAAAGCTAAAAAACCAAAAAATTAACTTTTTTAGCCTCTTTCCAAAGTGCCCTTTACTATTAATCCCACTCATTTATTCACATTATAAATTTAAAAAATCTCTTAAATTATGACACATCATCAATTGATACACTAATTAGTACATTAATTGGTGCATATATCATTATTTTATTTCTAAACATTTTTTTCTTACACACATCTACTTAATTATAACAAAATATTAAATTATTTCAAATTTCAAAATTATTTTTAAAATATATAATTAAATAAATCAAAAAAATTTATAATTTTTTTTTAATTTTTTTTAAAAATTTATTTCAAAACATAACTAAACGCACCTTAATGCGTGAAAATAGAATTTTTCAGAAGTCAGAGCTTATCCAAAAACAAGCGTTGCTTGCGTGGCGAATTGCGTTCACGCCACGAAAAGACACAATAAAATATAGTTTGTTAATGACTGTTTATTGCAACGATGAAACAGTGTGAATTAAAATAGGACACTTAGCTGAAGGGATTGTGGTATTTTAGGCCTAGTTTGAGATTTACTATATAATTTATTTTTTTATATTTTTTTTATCATGTTATCTCTCTATTTTTTTGTATATTTTTTTATAAAAAGTGTATATTTTTTTTATAAAAAGGTAAAAATATTTTTTTTAAGACAATCCAAATCAACACTTAATAAGATTTTGGGATATAAATCTTAAATTTTCAAGTTATATACGTTTTGGGGTCAATTTTTAGGAATTTGGTGTATTGGTGTTATGATGATCTTTTAAATGTCAAACGACGTTATGAAGTCAATGTATACACTTGAAGTCTACTCCTCATTCTGCTTGGATTAAAATTGACATTAGGTAATTAATTCTAAAGTCAATAGAGGATAAATTTGAAAAGTTTACTCGTTAAAAATAAATAAATAAATAGAAAACCCAGTTTATAAATTAAATTTAAAATTTTATTCATCTAAATATTCATATTTTAAAATATTTTATGTATAAAAATAAATTTCTATAAAATGACTAAATTATCAGTATATATATATATATATATGTGTATACATATATGTTATACGGTGGAAAAAGAAAATCAAAGTGGGCGTTTCATAAGCGGATTTTTATATAAGATTTTTTAGTTGTAGAATGTTATTAAAGAAATTTTTTTTTTATGTTTGAAAAGATAATTAAATTTTTTATAGTTAGATGTGATATTTGTAAAAAAATAAAATAAAATAATTATGAAAAAATATGATATTTTATTTGTATTTATTTTTTTTTAGTTTTGTAAAACTTTTATCTTATACTGAAAAAAATCAAAAAAAAAAATTCCAAACCAAGTTCGCAAACACCACCAAACCCTTTCTCTTGATTCATTTTTCTCTCAAATTGTGAATTTTTTCAGAGACCTGTGGATGGAAATGAAAAACAATTGAGTCGAAGAGGATAGGGGGGTGGCGCCGAAGAGAGAGAGAGAGGGAGAGAAGGCAGTGCTCTCTCTCTCTCTCCGACACCATAACCATCCTAACACTATGTAAAAAAATGTAAAAAACAATGTGATTTAATAAATTAAAAGTTAAAAAATAACTTTTAACTATTTTTCAAAATAAAGTTGTGATTAATACTTCTTATAAAAAAAAAATTTATTACCAAGTGACATTTCAGATTAAAAAAAAAAAAGAAAAGAAAAAGACATTTCAGCGAAAGTTCACGTGGACTTTGGTAATGATTTTGGACGGTACACGTGTCTCCTTTAATTTTCGGCTCTTTTTGACTCATTTTGTAAATAGTAACATTAAAGATCCTCAGCCTCCGTTCGGGAAATGGGTTGATTTTTTAATTTTTTGGCTATTTTAACTTGAGTTAAAAAATTTGATTTGAGAAGGATTTTTTGACTTTTTTAAATTTTTTTGTAAAAAAAAAGTGTAATGATTATGATTGGATGTAATATTTTATTTGTTATGATTAAAATAATTTATTTTATCTTTTGTGACTATTTTAACTATAAAATCACTTGCCAAACACCATCTAAAATATTTTGAAATGTCTTATATAAGTGGAAAACACGGATGAGATTATATGAGATGGGGTTTACACACTATTGATAAAAAATATTAGTCAAATATTTAGAATTTCCACCATTTTTCTTTTGAAAAGCAGGTAAAAATTATTTTTTTAATTTTTTTTAAAAATGGAAAAAGAAGAAGTTTAATGTGATTTAAAACAAATTAAAAAGCTTATTTTTAACCTAATTGACAAAATAAACCTTTTCCACAAATTTCCCGGGTCCAGTACGAGTCCACTAAACTTTTGGAGGGATTCTATTTGAATTCAAAATAAGTACGCCTAATTTAACTTTATAAATTTAATTCTTATTGTATCTTAATATGAATTTATTAATAAAGACAATACATATTAAACCTTAAATAAAATAATTTTTTTCATTATGATACACCCTAATCAGTTATTCATATTCAAATTTCTATATCTTCTTCCCAGTAGATCAAAGTTATTTCTTTTTCTTTTTCTTCTTCATCCTCCCTCCAAAACTCTAATCCACCCAACCAAAACTCACCATCATCATCAACATCATTATTTTTTATTTTTTTTGAAACCCTAAAACCCATAAGAAAATTTGAACAAAATCAAATAATGGATGAGAGGAATAATCAAAATAGTTTTTTGAAGCAACCCATCAAAAAGGATGTAAGTATTCATATAAAGAGATTTCACAATTTTTGTAAAATACCATCAATTATTTTCTATATCGTTTTTTTGAGAAAAATTAAAGGGTCCAGTAGTTAGATTAACAATAACAAATTATTGGAGTTGTTCTTATTTTATCATTTAAATAGTACATTATTTGATAACTACTATTTCTTGTTAGTGCCTGATACTTATGTACTTATAAGTTTGGTTTTTATTTTTCCATGAGCATTCTTGCTGATAATTCATAATGTAAAAGTTTTTTTTTCCTGTATTGAAAAGTTTTATAATGCTTATGTAAAAGTTTAATTTTTTCTGTATTTATAATATTTACGTGCTTATAAATTTGGTTTTTTCCCCTGTATTTGAGAATTATTTTCTGTATTGAAAATTTTTTGAAATAATTTAGTTTTTTTAATTTGTTTATTATTTATTATTTGGGTTTACCTTAAGGGTAATTTGAGAAAAACAATAGGGTGTAATGAGAGTAATATAAAATTTTAAATAATTAAATAAGGTGTATTTAGAAATTGAGAGTATTTAACGATTTTTTTTTATGTAAATAGAATTCTCCAAACTTTTGGCATGGACTGTCAGGTGGGCCCAAAGATCAAAAGCACAGCCCGGGCCCAACGAAGTCAAATGGTCGGGAGGCCCGGAGGGAGACGCAAACTCATCATGAAAAACGCAATTGTGTGAATAAACATAAATTCATATTGGTCCAATGAGCTCTATGGAAGAAAAAAACAAAACAGAAAGTTGATCTCATTTAAATTTGAAAATCTTTTTATTTTATACTAAGTAAAATACATATTGTGACATATCATGTGATTATAAAAATTTACTGCTATTAAGCGTGAGAAACTCAACCAACTTGTATACGGTTTAAGTTTAACTTATTTATTAATTAAATTTAAATTTATACATTAGCTCAATTCGTATACTCGTATACTGCTATTAAGCGTGATATATTATAAAATAATCAAGCTAAGCTTTACCGAGAGATTATTTTAACGCGAACTCAATCCAAATACATAACTAACAAGTTTGAATGCAAATTGGAGCCGTTTCGCTCTTTCTCACATAATTCCAGATTGGGAGAAGGAAAATTGTAAATGCAGTTGTAATGATTATAGTGCCAACAATTTTTATCACAAATTTTAACCAAAAAATGGATCAAAAGAATTCACACGCACTCCAACTATGTGCAAATTATTGGGGCACGGATTGTAATCAGTGTGAACAACTCACTACTCAACTTATCATCAAATAATGACAACTCTGTATATTATATGAGAAATAAAGCAAAAGCTAAAACACATTGATAGCAGTGAAATAAAAGAATTCCAGACATGCTGCAGAAAACCACACCAAGCAAAATGCTTGCCCATTGGCTTTCAACATTTCCAAAATTCCTACGACCAAAAAACAGCTTCAGAACAGAATTTAGTAGACAAAGGGTTGGAGATGGAACGCAGCAACTAAACGCATTATTGCGCGCATGAGAGAGAATTGGCTGGAGTAATTAAGAATAATGCACTCATTAAGGCAAGTGTTTGTAATATACATAGCAAGGGTTGACAGTTCATACAAGAAATAGTGAAATTGTTGAATCATTCCTGAAGTTTCTGTCAAAAGTATGGAAACCAATGTCTGCCCCATTGGATATTAGTTCCTCAATCATCCACAAAATCTCACAAATTGGCAACATAAAATCAAAATCATTTGGAACATTATCTTAATCAGACTGAATATCTCAAGAAGTCTCATTCTTCTTTACTCGAAATGTATTGTTTTTTCCTACACTCAAGGCTCATTGTTCACAATTAAAATCATATTAAGACATGTTTATCTAAACTCGTAGGCTAGACTCTCCAAACACTGACCCAACTGGTTAAGAACAAACAACAATACAGGTAGCTTTGACGTCGGGCCTCAAACCCTGTTGTATCCAACTGACTTACTGAACAGGCGGTGTATATACGCAACTTGAAGTGCACTTGCAAGAGCCAGCATAATGTACTCTCCTATTGTGTAAAGTATAACACGCTTCCGTGTGCTCTCATTTGCTGCAGCAGAAGAACAAGACATAGCTAATAAGTAATCGGTATGAGCCTATTTAGTTAAGAACCAGCACAAAATTGCAAATAAAAAAAGCTTATTATTGATGCAGTTTTGTGTAGATCAACACTCCATAGGAAGAAGAAAAATGAAAAAAATAACTTACTACGACGATGACGAGTATCACGTGCTTTCAAGTAGTTCTGTTCTGCTGTAACAGATTCCAATGCCTCCCTCAGCTCAGCAATTTTAACATTAATAGGGTCCAAATGTTCTGTAACAAACCACCATGTAAAGATTACAAAGAGATCCTTATATATACATATCAACCTCATATTCATTGGATGACAAGGTTCAAGATGCAGTCAAAATATAACTATCAAGGTGAACTGCTATTTGTAATTGTTAGTGCACAATTAGGTACTATGATAGATGAATACAACATGTTACTATGTAATGATAATAATGCATTTATATAAGAATTGGACAAACCATCTTTGGCAAGATCATGTTCACTGGGGATGTGGCCAACATGTATGTAGAAAGACACAGTCTCTGGTGTCGAGTAAGGATTATGGAAACAGAATTTGTACATTCCGCTTCGTGGGGCCTTGAAGTCAAACTTGTCCCCCGATGTTCCCTTCTGAGAGTGCACCACATTACCTGCAGGAGAGGTCACCTGCACAAAACCCAGAGATTAAAGATGGTTACTGATATTACTCAAAAACCAAGAACCAATGTCCTGAACTGGTAAACTAAATATGTGTTTATTGGCTGCATTATTTGCCAGTCGAGGGGTTTTCTACAAAGCATGCCTCAAGGACTATGTTACAAGAAATAAAACATGGTTACCTGGCTTATAGAACCCAATGGAACTAGTTAATAAAATTATAGGAGTTAAAAAACTGTTGGTGTATTGTTTCCCATAAACAATCATGGTTAATTCATCATCATCATCATTATCACCTGTTTTGATAACAACCCTCTGAACTTTCCAAATTCATGTAGCTCAGTAAATAATGTCCAAACCATTTGGGTTGACCATATGAATTTGTGAATCAGATTTGCCATTCTGCCCCATCCAAAATCAAAGGTTCTATTTCATAACCCACCAAGTCCTCATTTTTGGGCCAAAGAGATGTGTTTATGAATAAATTATAATATTGTGCCAAAGCCCAATGAATACTACAAGAAGTAAATAAACAAGAATAAAAATATGAGAGAGAGAGAGAGCAACCGAAAAACAAACACCAACCATTTTACGTGGTTCGGCAATTGCATATGTCCAAGGGCTGGGATCCAATCAATCAACTATAATCAAACAAGGAATACAAGTACAATAGAGACACTACATAGTTACCCTTGCTTGACTGAATACAATTAACTCACTGTCAACAACTCAACTCAAACAAAGTCTCCTTGTTTTGGTATGGTTGAACCCAGAGTGGAACACCAAAGATAAAGGCTACAGTGCTCTGAGACAATAGCACTTCAAGAGATCTCACTGTTTCTGGTCTCGCTTGAAGCCTCTAAAACCTACTTTTTAAAGTCTTTTTCACTCTGTTTCTCTCATGGAAAACACCATGAGTACCACCTTTTTATAGGTGCTGAAGGAAGCATCTAAATGCTTCTATATGAATGTAAATGTACGAACATTGGAATTCTCAAGCAAGGTATATTCCTATTTGACGTTTAAAGTACAGGATAGATTTCTCAAAGAATCCATGCAACACTTGCTTTGAAATATCCAAGCATGCACGCATCTTTTCAAGACTTTATTCAGCCAATAAAGAATGAGCACTGACCACCCTCTTGCACTTCCTTATGCCAGAATAATTGTTATCCCATAGCACTCACTGTCTCAATCGACATCAGTCTTGACATCTACTAGGCTTGGCAACACCCTATATATGAACCATATTACTCTTATTATCTCATTAATGCATATTGATTTCCATTACACATATCCAAATCCCACTAAATTCAAAACACCTGACAATTCAAGGGAACAGTTGAATTCATCACCACTGAAAATCAAAGCCAGATGGTTCCTTCTCATTTCCAATTCCATGCATAGTCACACTATTCTTCCACAAGGATGTTGGTTATTGGTTCCCTCTTCCCATTATTCCTTACAAAAAAGATTGGTTTGATATTCCTAACTAGCTTCAATTATATTGCTAGCAAAAACAGTAAATAAATAAATCAAATATGAAACTTTGCTATCTGATCTTCCACAGTTGTGAGAGACTCGGAAGAAGTTTAATGAAATATTTATACCAAATCCATCATGCTTTCGTCCTTCGATCTCTCAAACTCTTCTTCTAGCATACAATCCATAATTTCCGTAACAATCAAGTTCAAGCACTCTGCCCCCATACCAAATTATAGCAATGCAAAAAATTGTGCTAGGCACAAAGTTTAGCAAGAGCTCCTCTGTATCTGTATCTTGATGAGTCCCACAAATGACATTTATATTTGACAGTTTTTGAAGAAAACAAAAGAAATAATATTTGCACCATTGAAAAAATATTGTCAAATCATGAAATTTGACTTTGTAGCATCCCAAAATTTAGGTTTAACATTACCATTTCCGCACAACAATTGGAGATGCTCTTATGGTATTTTGAGCTCAAGGTAGGTCCAAGGGAACCTAATAGTCAATTGATCTAGGTGCGAGGTGAAAGCAACAATGGGGACTAGGAGCAGGAATAGCCTACGGAGTTCTAACAGTGTCTATCAAACATCTAAACACAGTTATAATCAAACAATAAGTTAGGTGTAATAAAATAAAGAAACAGAAATTCTAACATCTATACGTATACATAATCTATGATTATATACATATACAATTCTCAAACTTTTCAAGATCAATTGATTAGAAAATTAAAGTCTTTCAGAAATCCGAATGAGCTAATTGTACTATCAATCACGCGTAGAAATCAGCAATCTAAGGCTGCAAAACCCAGAAAATCTATTGGACCCATCAATCTCCAGCAGATCAATAAATTTCTAAATTACCATGAAATGAATTTGCACCCAAAAACAAACTAAAGAAAGAAAAACCCAATTCTGATATTTAAAAAAAAAAAAAAAAATCTCCAGCAGATCAATAAATTTCTAAATCACCATGAAATAAATTTGCACCCAAAAAACAAACTGAAGAAAGAAAAACCCATTCTGATAGTAAAAAAATAAAATAAAATAAAAATCACATAGATCAAGTAAGCATGAAACGTAGAAAAAAACAAATGACGAAGAGAGAGATTACGATGAAGTCGATGCCGGGGTGATCGGAACTCCAGAAAATGTCGTGATCGACGACGACGAAGTTGCCGGTGACGGAGTCGCCTTCGTAGAGGACGTACTCGTAGATGCATTCGACGTCGTTTACGGTGACGGAGAGAGCCGAGAGGTCGCTGACGAAGCTGAGAAGAAGAAGCCCCACCAATACCAGAGGGTAGATCTTCGATTTCGTGCCCCTCTTTCTCTCTCCTCTCTCCATTTTTTTTTAGGGTTCGATTTTGACTTTTGATTTTGATTACAAAGATTTGATTTTGATTAGAAAAAAAAAGAAGAATCGAAAGCTCAGAGAGAGGCACGATTTAGAAAGAAGGAGAGGAAAAAATAAAGAAAAAGACATTTTTGCACAAAACGTTTCTCAGATTTTATCCAGACAAACGACGGCGTTTGTATGTTGTCGGGAAACGATATCGTTTTTGTAGTCAAACAAGAAAAAAAAAAACAAAAAAAAAGAAAGGAAATTTGTTTTTTTATTGTTTTTTAGGAAATTGTTAGATGATCCCATTAGATTTATAATTTAAAGGGGGAATTGTATACAGGTTTAAGGAAAAAAAAATTATCAACACACATCCTTATGAATACAATTGCCCTCTATGTGTTTGTAATTATTTTTCCCAACTCTTTGCTGTATGTACATCTCTCTAATTTCAATTGGATATGGATGAAAAATATGAGGTTAGTATTAGGAGTGTTCGCGGATCGGTTTTGTGCGGTTTGCGGTTTGGTTTTGACCCGCCCGCATCTATGCGGTTTGGGAAAAAGTCAACCCACAACCACCCACAGTGCGGTTTGCGGTTTGTGCGGATAGGGTTTGCAAATGTGCGGGCGGTTGCGGGCGGTTTGCGGTTTACACTTTTTTCTTTAAAAATTAATTTTCGAGTTTTTTTTTTCCCAGCGAATTTAGGCATCAGATTCATTTTATATATTTGTGATAACAATTTTTTGATGAGTTTACAAATAAAAATTGAATATCAATGCATTAAATGAAAGTACCCAAAACAAAGAGATCCTACACTAGCATTTTTGCCATGAAAAAAATGTATATCAATGCATTAAAGGTTGTACTCAATTAGAATTGCCAGTTCAGTAATCAATAATCAAACTATAAGTTCTATCGACCATTAGAAGAAAAATTTTATTAGGAAAAAGTGGATAAATCACCAATGAAAATCATATAAGAAACCAAGTTTAGGACTTGATAATTCTACGGCATTAAGAAAGTTGAGAAATACTAGTGTCATAGAGAATATAATGGTGCTCCTGTAAAAGTTACAAAGTTGGTATATAAAAAAAAATAATAATAATAATTAAAGTGCGGGCGGTTTTTGCGGGTTTAAACAGCGACCCGCCCGCAACCTGCAAATTTGTCATATTTCAAACCGCACCCGCCCGCATTATGTTTGCGAAACCGCCCACTTATATGCGGGTTGGGCGGATTGGGCGGTTTGAGCGGTTCGGATAAACCGTTGCCCACCCTAGTTAGTATACTTACAAAATAAATATAATGAAATTATATAATTATAATTATTAATTTTTTTTTACAAATAATTTATACATACAAACTTAAAAGATGAACAAAGCTGGTGCTATTGAAAATTGGAGACTTTATAAATCAGTGGTACTATTCTAAAATAACTATAGATTCATAGCAAATTTTGTAATTTTAATCATTAAAATATATTAATTTTTTCATGAATCTTTAGTTATTTTTTTAAAACTAACAATAATGTGCTATTTTTCTTTTAAAATTTTAATAATTTATTTACTTTCTTCTATTATATAATAGATTAACCCTTATTAAGAATTTTTATCAAAGTCTTTCAGCTTCCTAATTAGACTCTTTCAATTACTCACTCAGTTGTATATTATTGTATAATAGATTAACCCCTCATCAACAGCTCTCACCAACTCTCTCTGAATAATTCGTTTTCCAACTCATCACTTCCAATAACTTTAGCTTCATAGAAGTTTGTTTTTGTTTTTGTTTTTGTTTTTATTTATTTATTTATTTTGTTTCTTTCTTTAAGCCAGAACAAAATAGAATAATTCATCTCTTACGCTTTTTTCAATGAAAAAAAACAACTCAAATTAAAAATCAAGTGAAGCCAAAAAGCTTGTCAATTTAGGTGGTCATTTTGACAGGTTCATTCCGAAATGTATGTGTCATTTTTCAACAATCTTGTATGCATTTAATTAAATTTATTTACAATATTTTAAAATTATGCTTCTTAATTTAACAAAAATTATAATCCAATAATTAATATCTTTGAAAGCTTCATGGAATCAACTTTATTGATGGGGTAGGAAGCTTGTCCTTGTCTCCAAATGGAATTGAAGTGCTATTCCTCCTTGTTTTGCATCTTCAAACCTCCAAGCTCTCTTTTGTTGAAGAGAAATGGAAGACAACAATGATATCCAGATCCCAAGACTGAAACTGGGTTCACAAGGGCTTGAGGTAAAACCTTCTTGTTACCAGTACTTCAAATTGTTTTGGGTTGTGTTTGGATCATGAATTTGTGGAGGTTTTTGTAGAAGGAAAGGTAAAGGGAGGGGAAAAGTGAATGAAACCCTCCTCAAGTTCAACATCCAAACACAACCTTAGCTTATTGATTTTCATTTTTTCATAAATGAAATCATCTTGACAATTTAACTGGGTTTGCTAGCTTCATGCCTTCATCACACTATGAATTTGAATTTAATGTGAATTGTTGTTCTTAGCATGCCAGTTCTGATACCACATGCAATGAACTGACAAATCATCCATATGGTGAAACAATCTCCCTTGTGAAATCTGATTCAATTGATGCCCCTATTTTTGAAATGAATTAAAGGGCAAATTGGTGTATTGTCAGATCGAACAGAAATCGAAAATTGTCGAGTTAACTTATCATTGATGTATTGTTTCATTGAGACCCAATTCAAATAGGTTTATTTCCCTTGACAAGTGGCTTTTATTGAATATCAGATTGGTTTGGCTCTGTTAACTTTCATTCTATTAGTAGTAATGTTTTGTCTGCCTTTTAGTGTAGCTCTTTGTGAGCATGTCTATATATCATTCTCTTTTCGGTGGTAAGTAGATTTTATGATGAAATCAAGGTGAAAGTGATTTTGTTAGGGAAAAGTTGAAACAAAAATCAGAAGATTAGCAGTGTAGTTCAATCAAGCAGTTTAAAATTACATTTTCATCTTAAAAAAAAAAGAAAAAGAAAAAGAAAAAACCTACCATTTCCAAGTGACGGTGTTCTTTTGTCGTGCAGGTTTCCAGATTAGGCTTTGGATGTGCAGGACTTTCTGGAATATACAATGATCCTCTCTCGCACGAGGCTGGGTGTTCAATTATAAAGGAAGCTTTTAGTAAGGGTGTCACCTTCTTCGATACCTCTGACCTCTATGGACAAAATTATGACAACGAGATCATGGTTGGCAAGGTGCTGCTTAAAATCTTTAAAATTGACCCCAAAATGCGTATTGCAACAGCTTATAATTTCGAACATTGACATCTTATTCTCTTCTCTGTTGATTTAAATAGAAGATTCATTGTATTGCAGCAGAATAACAATGTAAAATCCAATAAAAAGAAAGAAAAATTAAACAGCACAAAAAAGAAATTGGAATTAGAATATGGTTGAGCTTATGCTTCATTTATGTGGCAAGAAGTATCATAGGTCTGCAACATGTTCATTACGGTTTAGTTCTGAACTCTGATAGTTTCAGTAAAATGTATCTTTTCCTTGAGCATCCTGGTTAGATTCACATTGTTGATTGTCAAACAGTTTATTTTATTATTATTATTTTGGGAATTTTAGGCCCTGAAACAATTTCCACGAGAAAAGGTTCAGTTAGCTACAAAATTTGGGATTATCAAATTAGAGGGTGGTCAATTTGATGTCAAGGGTACTCCTGAATATGTACGGCAGTGCTGCAAAGCTAGTCTTAAACGACTTGACCTGGACTATATTGATCTGTACTATCAGCACCGTGTGGATGTTTCAGTGCCTATAGAGGACACTGTAAGTGTCAGTCATTCATTTTCATTTCAGTTAGTATTGGAACCAATTGTGTTCTTAATTTCTGTACACACAACTGAATATACATGATTGATCATTTAAATGTTTGAATTTTTTTGGCACAGATGGGAGAGCTCAAGAAACTGGTAGAGGAGGGAAAGATAAAGTACATTGGATTATCCGAAGCTAGTGCAGAAACAGTAAGGAGAGCCCATGCAGTTCATCCCATCACTGCAGTCCAAGTGGAGTATTCTCTATGGACTCGTGACATTGAAGAGGATATAATTCCACTTTGCCGGTTAGTTAAGCGTGCTAATTTTTTTTTATTTTTTTGTTTTGGGTCAAAAGTCAAAACTAGAAGCTCTTGGGCTTGTTTAGAAGATCAGAAACTCAATTACCACCCTCTATTTTAATCTCACCGAGTTTATAAACTTTGCACCCTCCTCGTCAACAGAGAGCTAGGTATTGGGATCGTGGCATATAGCCCTCTTGGTCGTGGCTTCTTTGGTGGGAAGGGAGTTGTTGAGAGTGTGCCCAACGGTAGTCTATTGGTATGTGACTACAGATCAGAAATAAGTAATTGCAAATCTCTGTTTCTTGCATATTACTAGACGTAAAGACATGAATATGACTTTTTTCACTGGATGGCATGATGACTTGCACACCAGGCACTTCACAGGGTTCATTCTTAAACCAGGCAATGTGACCCTTTGTGAGATGTTGCTTCCATACCAGACACTGATGAGCATATTCATTAAATTCTGAACTCAAGTTGATCTGTTGCAGGCTCACTTTCCAAGGTATACCGGAGAGAATCTAGAGAAGAACAAACAACTCTATGCCCGTCTAGCCAACATTGCTGCAAAGCATAATTGCACCCCTCCTCAGCTGGCTTTGGCATGGCTGCTTCATCAAGAAGACAATGTTGTTCCAATCCCAGGTAAATTATGCTCTTAAATCTAGTCTAGCCCATTGTTTTGCATTGCTGAGTTTCAATTCATAAAAACTAAACTAATGGTCATACCTCATACTTAAAAAAACTCATCCTTCTTAAGTCTACGCATATCAACCAGGTCAAGCATCATTAACTCATTCTCTATCCCCAAATCCCATATACTTCTACCATCCCCCACTCCCCCAAAGCTTACAGCGGAAACCCATGTACATGGTTTTGAGCATAATCTGAGATTTTGATTAACTGGATAGCGTTAATTTTTCTTGGGCTATTTATTAAACAGGGACAACCAAGGTTAATAACCTTCATAGTGCAATTGGATCATTAGCACTGAAGTTTACTGTAGAGGATAT